CCTTTTGGGTGAAGTGGTTGACAGGCCGTGTTTGCTCGGCATTCTTAGGCTCCGTGTGATTGTCTTGTCTTCGTCACGGTGTATGAAGTGACGTAGGACTTTATAGGCCGAAGGAAGGTCTAGATGCCTGTTGATGGAGTTGGCATCTGAGTACCAAGCCTCAAGTGTGAGGCGCTCAGTCCTTGAGGTGCCCCTGCCTAAGACGGCTGCTCCTTGAAAATCAAAACTGTGACCAGTTTCCCCGATGTGAGCCGCAAGCTGTGAGTTTCGGTCTAGTCTCCGTGTTGCCAGTTTGTGCTCATGTAGGCGGGTCTGCAATTTCCGTCCGGTTTCCCCAACGTAATTGCAGTCTCCATCCTTACAACGTATTTGATAGACAACTGCTGAGGTTTCAGTGGGTGGCAGTATGTCTTTGGGCTGCATCAAACGGCGACGAATTGTTGCCTGGGGTCGGTGGGCAATACCTACCCTGGCGGGTTGTAGCAGTCTTGAAACCGCCTCGGAGACTCCTTTAATGTAAGGAATAGCCCTCCAGACTTCGGGTTGTTCTTCTTGTGGCCGTCGTCTGTTCATTTGGCGCTTGCTTTGCTTGATGAAGTGGCATGGGTATCCATTGGTTCGAAAGAGATCATGCAGATATTGTCGTTCAACTCTTTTGTCGGCTGGTGTGCTGCAGTGTGTTTCAACTCAGTTGTGTCCGTACTCTGTTTTGCTAACCTTACTTTCCACTTTCCTCTCTCCGCATCAGATTCTTCTGCCGAAGGAGGCTGATCTGCGCGGACTCATCGTCCTCGCCGAGGTGACAGAATGCGACAAGTTCTTTATGCGCGGTCGCATCCTCGATCGGGGCCCCTTCAACTCCCTCCTCCAGGGTCCTGAGGCGGAGGCGTTGGACATCACGCTCCCCGAGGTGCCCCTACAGGTTCGGAGTCGCAAGCCTGCGTCTTCGGCTATTGCCTCCAGACTGAAGCCCTCATTTTCTTCCTCTTCAATCCCGAAGGCCTCCTCGCCGCCTTGGAATGCAAAAATCCTGGTATATATACCCATTCTGCGTTGACTAAGTTGTCTGTTTCCCTGACCACTCTTCATCTGCCCCCACTCCTCCCCCTACCCCGGTTAACGTACAGTTGGTAGGCTACCTCATGAAATGTCAACCGAAATTCCGAAATGCCTTTTCGTTTCGAAAAGATTAATTAAATAGAATTGTAAAACTAGTCAGCCTGCAACATAATTCTATAATGTTTCAGTTACCTCAAGATGCCGGCTTTCAAATGAACATCCTTCCGGCTGCATGCAAAAACCACACTGTCAAAAATGACAACTTCAGTAGCTTGAATTTTTTCATTGATTTTCTATGCCTCCAAGTGTAACAGTAGAGCGGGTTCAAAATTATTCGGGAATTGGAAAAAATTTTGAAAACCGAATTGTACCATTCCTTTGAGTATAAAATTGGAAGAAGACGTAATTTTCTACCGAAAGAGTGAAAGAATGAATATTTGAATGCGTGTTTGGCATCGAAAATCAATGAGAAAATTGCATGCTAAGTAAGTAGTCATTTTTGCAGAGTATAGTTCTTGCATGCAGTCAGAAAGAAATTCATTCGAAAGCCTACACCCTGAGGTAACTGAAATGTTAGAGAATTATGTTGCAGGCTGACTAGTTTTGCAACCCTACTTAGTTGATTTTTTCAGAACGAAAACGCATTTCGGAATTCCCGTTGACATTTTATAAGTTAGCCCACTTACTGTATTTGCCTAATGCCTCATCGATTGCGTGATCTCTGAGGGTTCCGCCATTTGTGATTTCAATGGGAGCATGGGGTCGCCTGCACACTTCTTTAGATCCCATTTTCCCTGCTTATTTGTTGCAAACCTCACCCGTGGACCTCTGCTGCGCCAATTGGCTTAGTCTAGAGGACGTTTTCCGGATCTCGCAATGGTCGGATTCGCCGTTGCGGCCCGACCTCGCCTTCCAGTTCTATGTAGGTCCGACCCCTCGCGTCACGACTGTTGGCGCGTCGTGCAAGCCCAAAGAAGAGCCCAGTTGTTTGTGGCAAGGTGAGAGGACATCACTCTCTCCTCTTATCTGTGGAATTTCACGGCCAAACCGGCTAGAGATTAGATGCAATGACGTAAAACCCCGTGTGCCACGCGCAGTTGCTATTGTCCGCCTCTTTACGTTCTAAAACTTAGTCCTCACAACAGCTCGTCGCAGTGGAGAAGGTGTGATCACTGGGACAAGAAGTTTATTGGCCCGACGTTTTGAATCTATTCTACGAGACAAATACGATGGAACGGAGAATCGCCTCGGACACGCTCAATTCCTCCAACTCCTGAATTTCTTTCTCAGGACGTACTATACATTCGACGGAACAATCTACGAGCAGGTGATGGTCACGCCAATGGGTTCGTCGATTTCAGGACTGACAGCTAAAGTGGTCTTACAACGGTTGGAGTTGCTGGTTTTCCGACACCACAGGCCGAAATTCTGGGCTCAGTATGCGGATGATACATTCGCCATCGAACGAGATCGGGTGTTGACGTTCGAAGGACGCATCAACGCCGTCTCCCCGGACATTCAGTTTACGATGGAGGAGGAATGAAAACAAGTAGCTGGTTTTTCTGGATGTCCTCGTTTGCCGCAAGGATTTTAGTGGTTAAAAAATTAAAAGTTCGGGAAAGCGACAAATACGACGCAAGTACTGAATTTACCAGCAACCACCCGATCAGTCACAAACACGGTTGCATAAGTACGCTATACTAGCCCGTTGATACGCATTGCAGTGAAACGGAAGACAAGGTTCCGAAATACAATACCTTTGACGGGTACTGAGAGCCAATGGCTACCCGCGCAACTTTATCAATCAGTGCATACGCGAATGATACCAGAGACCAAATCCAACCGGCCCTAAATTTTGACAAGCTCTTCCGTTCGTGAAGACCGTCTCAGAACCCGTCAGCCGCCTTCTCACTCCACTTGGAGCACAGGCCGAAGCAACTTTCAGGCGCCGAAAGACCCACTGTCACGGCAGGAAACATCTGGAGTCGTTTAGCGGATCTGGCGCAGAGCAACTACCTCGGAGAAAGCGGGAGATTACTCCGGACGCCAATGGCCGAGTACGCAGCGACGGTGAGAAAGACGCGGGCTCTCAGGTGCTGGCTCATTCGACGGGGCCCGGCCATATTTTCGAGTTTCAAAGGGCCTAAATCCTCGCAAGAGGTGGCAACCGCGTGAGCCACGAGCTCCTCGAGTCATGGTTCTCAGGTCCGCAATCCGTCAACAAGCGCAATGACCTCCCGCTACCGTATTCCATGCTGAGATTTTCCCTGGATAGGGGAATCAATAACGTGGGGAAGGCGTGGGCGAGCAACGATCCTAGTGACAGCGAGCCAAATGGGCGAGTAATCATCACACCAGCATCCAGCACGGATGGTGGAATCGCGGCAATTTACGGCTCGGACGCGGACTGGCAAGCCATCATCGCATGAATTACAACCCCCAGCGATGGTCGTGGTAGCTATTAATTATAGTACGCATGTGGTCCCACGGCAGCTGCGTTTTATAAATACCGAACTTCTTGTGCCTCCACTTATCTGCGACTTTCTGTGATGTTGGGTTCGAGCGAGAATCCAAAACGTTAGGCTGATAAGCGTCTTGATCCAGCGATCGCACCTGCCTCTTCTGAACTGTATCCTGAGAATCACATGCTTGCTTTAATCCCCGCAGTATACTGCAATCGTTCATCCAGGTATGTGGATGACCGTAGGTTCACGTAATTTTCAGTCCTCATATGGTCGTGGCGCTGTTTGCTAAGGTGAGATGGCAGTAACCTCGCAGTAGTACTGCTGCTGGGAGATATGCACGAGACACTTTCATTCTAACGAACTTGGACGTGAGAGGGGGGAATGAATGTGGCAGACATACGTCCTCCTTCTTTCTCTTGAAGCCGTTGGGTAGGATTGAGATTTCCTTGCTAACTTAATTATCGGTTATTCAAGATACACCGGGTCTAGCCTCCACAAAGGGCAGGTGTCTGTTTGGTATTTAACATCTATTTCGATGCCGAGCATGTGGCATATTTATGTGATCGGTACGTACTTGTTCCTGTCCATTTATCGCCTCCCTTCCTTCCCTGTGTTCCTTTCAGTTGCCAACCCTGTTGATCGTCCTACTTTCTCTGCTGTGGATTGCGACCCAGTGTACAAAGGTGCATTTTGGATTCCATTCCTCCTTGTGACTCAAGAGGACACTACTTTCTGCGTAAATACAGCCCTTTTCCTGCCCCCGCTTTCGATCTTTTTCGCCTTCGTCCGACAGCCCAACTCGTCGCTTCATATCTCCCCGTAGGGAGGGCGAATAAAATGAAATCCCCAACCTAGGCTGTCAGGCTGACTTCTGTTTTGGGATTTAGTGGAATGTAGACTAAGTATCGGCCGACACACAGTACTCGCCCCTCTACAGGACTGAGGTAGTATGCATTCCGAGCCGAAGGTAGTCGAGCTGTACTCACAAAGTTCCGAGCTGGTGTCTGGAACTAATCCGCATGACTACTTAACTCGCTGGTCTTTATGATTGGGTGATCCCTGATCTGATCGACAATACCCGGGTTTCGGGGAGCATATTATTATTGCATGGCAGCGCTCCTCATTCCCCTCACTGGCCCAATTGGTGACAGTGAAAACGACCAGAAAGAAAAAGACAGGAATGTCAAAGTGGTAGACACTTCCTCCGTTCTGATGTCCGCCTCCAAGCAACAGCTAAGGCAGAAGCAGGCGGCCCGTAACCGAGCCTTAACAGTCTCACTTGCCGCAGATGATTTATCAGGGGAATATCTCTGAGGGCGTGGCATCATGCTGCCACGACGGAGGCGGGATTGGTTCTGCAAAGCCCGAAGTCGACCCCCCCCCTTTTTGGCGTGCCACCACCCCTCCCGCGGCACCAGCGCCTCCTGATGCTGTCGCTAGCGCCTTGCGTCGCAGCCGGGGGAAAAAATCTTGGCTCTGGAAGCCACTGTCCCACACCCATGACAGGGAAACTACCCGGCGTACGTGTGTGCAAATTCGAAGTCCGCCCCCTTCTGTCACGTGTCTGCGTGATCTGATTGGTCCAGCTGCCAATGCGCGAAAAAGATGACGGTCGAATTTTGCCGGCCGGCATGCGCACCGGACTGCAGCGGCGGTATAACGATAGCGTACAGCCGACGTCACTCGGAACAGGGAACCAAACTCGACTACTTGCCTCGTTAGACCCGCTAATCGGCGAGTGCTTGGGCAGGAAGCGTGCGGTAGCTACACTACTACTGCTCCCAACGCGTGTTCTCGATTCCGAGGGAGAAATGTACCGTGGAATGCTTCGCAAAGGAGGACTCGCATGTGAGACCCTGAAGGTGGACCAGCTGTGGAAAAGACCGGCCGGTCTGGGCGGAAGTCTCGAATCCGAGTTCATACAACCAACAGTAGTGACATCTCCGGCAAGTCTACTGCCTTTTCACGAAAGCTCTATGTTCCAACAAGGTACCCAGAATGTGGAACTTAAAAAGCCCGTTAGTTGAACTCATCACGCAACCCAGGTGTGCCCCTAACAGCACTGTATCGATTTTGTAGAGTGGGGAGGGGGGGGGGCAGACAAGTCAAGAGTAGTTTGCAAAAGCACCAAAGTAAAGTAGTATTATCCAAAAGTGTGTGCAAGGCGAGGGCGAAAGACACTGGATGCCTAGTTGCATGCGTTTTCGGATTAAAATAAGGAGCGGCTCATCACTGCTCGAAGTGAAGGATAGAGACAGTCGAAGGGGGGGGGGGAGGGGGAGTGAAAGCTGCAGAAGCCTTCCAACCCTAATCGCTATCTTCCGAGGAAGACGAACGTCCACGAATGAGTGTGGTCTTCTTGGGTGACTTCTCGGTCCTTTCAGGCGTTTTAATGACTGAGGCCTTGGCCAGACGGTCTTCAAGAGCTAAAAGACAGGAAGTAAATGTTGGAATTGTTCACTCTTACGAGACGGGCTAAAGTATTTCAGTTGTGATCTATGACCTACGAAAATAGCGTGTTTAGGGCAGAGACTGGGTAAACGGTAGTCTTTACCGGAAATGCATAAACACTTGGAAGCAAACGCGAACAGGTGTGCGGCTGGCGTCCGCTGCAGGTGCAGGAGCTAATCCGTATGGTGTCTTACCTTGTTGACCTTTAGGATCGAGAGATACGCGACCCGAGCGTGCAGGCGCTGCGCTCCTGTACAGACGAAACGGTCTGGAAACGTGGAACACCTGGGCAGCATCTTGGGCGACCTCTAGTCTGAGAGGAGATACCCCGATCTCGCGTAGCATTATCATTATTATTGCGTAAAAACTTTCCTTATTTCCCTTACCGACCCAACTGGCGGTCGGTAACATTTCCTATAGTCCTCAGTCCAGGCAACAGCTAAAAAAGAAGTCGACGGTCCGGCTAGGGGGTTACCGACTCCCACATATAAGCACTAGGATCTCAAGGGATGGCACGGTTGCGCCCTCTCGAATCCCGGACGTTCCCAACTTGGCACTGGAGGACATTTGACTGGAATTGCCAAACAAGGCAGAAATTTTTATTTCAGTTTCTCTTCGAAGAGGGAGGAGGAGGAGGAGGAGAAGAAGAAGAAGGAGGAGGAGGAGGAGGAGGAGGAGGAGGGCACGTGCGTCCCCATGAAAACTTGCAGTAGAGCAACGCCAGCTACAGCATACCATCACAAATGACCACACCAAAAATCACAGCGCAAGCACGTAATTGGCACCTCTGACGTAAGTGGGGAGTGTACTCCTCGACCCCTTCTCCATGTAGCTCCTCTGCAGCATAGGTGATCCGAGCCTGGGACTTTGATGGTGTGGTAGGCGCACGGCAGCTCTGAAGGTTGCCAACTGACACTTTAACTCAACCCACGCAGTCAACGTGACCTCTGGCACCCTTACGCATGTGAGGCGCATACCGACCACCTCCTTTTGTGTGAAAGTCTGGTGCTTGTGTTCGGGGACCAGATCGTGTACGTGGCACGCGCAGACGAGGACACTACATATCTCAGCCACTGTGCCCATTCCCGGTACAAAACAACTGGCCAGCTTGGACAGTGGCTGGGGCCTGGGAGTGGAAATAGAGACTAAGGACGACGACGACTCAGCGCATTTTCCTGACTATAAACAATCTGACGCGCTTGAGGTGTGTTTGGAAGGCAGCCAACTAACGGGATAGCTCGGACCTCGCAGTGTTTTGTGTTTGTGCGACCGGTGAACTGAGCGTCAGGCTGCTATGGCTCCTTAATGCGGCCTCTAAGGCATTCCCACTCAGTGGAATCGAAGCCGCGTGTAACGGCACGCCTAGGTGCGGCTCCCGTCGCGCCAGCCACTTGCGGCCTCTCCCGTCTCAGGTCTTCCTGGACTCTGCCTTGACATGGGGCCTGGCTGGCGAAGGAGGAGTGCGATAGATGCTGCGCAAGTCTACATTCACTATAAACTAAGCCACGCGCAAGTCACCGTGCATGTGTTCATCCTGCCGTGGAATATACGGTGGACATCGTCGAAACCGACGGTCGAACTGTCATACGTTAGCAGTAGTAAACAGGCAGGTATGATGTCATGTGAATGGAAATTTCGCGTTGTTAACAATCACAGAATTAAACTTTTCTAAACTGCAAGGTACCCTTTTGTCTAGTATAGGATCCGAAGACGGTGTGATTTTCTGCCAAATGAGCACAAGAAGGGATATTTTTGGGTATGTTTTCTATAGCATATAGCATATATTCGGCCGTGCCAGCCTCCAAATCTCTGTTGTGTTGGTTGAAATCCTGGTCATTTGTTGTGTGGACCAGGGGTTGTTGTGGAACGCCAAGGTGAGGATCCGTCCGAGCCATCCACCTGCGGCCTCCCTCGCCTCCGGTCTTCTTGACTCTGTTTTGACACCAGGCTCGGGCGAGGGAGGAGGGGAGAGTGTAGGTAGATGCTACGCAAGTCTACCGGCACTATAAGCCCCTGCGTAAGTCACTGTCCCTGCTCCCATTGCTGCTGCAACTGTGGGGCACACGGTGGACATCATCGAAACCGATGGTCGAACTGTCATATTTGAACTTACAAGGACATGTGTAGTCACGGATGGAAGCGAACATGCGAATCCCAGGTTCTTGTTGTAAAGAAGATGCACAAACGATCTCTGGAATAGTAGGTGTACTAGCCTGAGCTTTCGGTCTTGTACAGGAGGCCATCGTCAGAGACTGTGAATATCGCTCACCGTCCGAGAGCGACCATGCGCAAAAAAATCATGCGAGTGAAAGACCGACTAGACGTGGGAGAACAACCAGATGTCGTTTATCAGATCCCATGTCGGGACTGCCATCGCCACTACACGAGACAGACCGGACGACGACTTAGCTCACGAATGACGGAGCATAAAGGGGCGGTCCGGAGAGGCGACCCGTTGTCTCAGGTCGCAACTCACCCTGGAGGAAGGCCACGAATTCAACATAGCGTGCACGCGGATAGTAGCGCGGGCCGACAATAAGACAGGGCAAGAACTGTTGGAGGCCTGGGTGTCTGACACCAACTCTATTAACAGACACGTTTACATGCCCCCCTGCTATCCCGCGCTCCGTTTCCGCGGCCAAGAGGCGAGACCCAATTTCCAGCCAAGGCTTGACTACAAAAACCGCTTATTTGATGCCGCATTCTCACAGTCTCTGACGATGGCCTCCTGTACGAGATCGAAAGCTCAGACTAATACACCTACTATTCCAGAGATCGTTTGTTTATCTTATTTACACATTTAGTCATTTTTACGGTGGTTTTTGTAGATGGCCGGGATGAAGTTCACTCAAAAGCCGTGACTGAAATGTTGCACGTCAATCAGTGTTGCGAGCCCACCTAAGTTCTGCCGTCGTGGCCGACGATGTGTTCCACAGCAGGGCGAGAACAGGGACGGTGACTTGTACACTTGCGCTGAATCTACCGCACTCTCTCCTTCCCCCCCCCCACCTGGGCCTACTGTCAAGGCGGAGTCAAGAATGCCGGCAGCAGGAGGGCGGAGATGTCTGGCACGGTGAAAGCCTGCATCTAGGCGTACCACCACCACATTTCCTAGTTTACAGCGTACACTGGCTAGGATTCTACACAAGAAGGAAGATAGGGGGGGGCGGTATAGGTCCCAAAGGACTCAGCGTGAGCCTGCAACAGGGCGTGCTGCCAGCCCCCCCCCCCACCAGTGTTGGGAGTTTTTATGCAACGCCTGCAGGACTTCCATCTAGTCCCCATGTTGGTCCAGCGCATCTACCGTGTGGCCCGTTTGAGCGACTTTGCCTAATTGGAAACACATTTCGTAATTTCGGTTACGAGTTGACCAGATGTGCCAGTAGCAGCCAGCAGAGGACTCACCTTCTATGCTGACGGGGTGCCCGCCGAGGGCGGTGGAACCAACCAGCTGGGTCTTCACTTCGCCCTCATAGTAGATAATGAGAGTAGGCACATTGGAGTCGGGCAGGTCAGGAATGCAGAGGGCCACCTCACCGCGAACGAACTTCACGTCTGGATAGCGTGCCGCGAGGGTGCGCAGATGCATGTCCACCACGCTGCACTTTTCATTTCTGTGGACAAAAATGCGGCACGTAGTATGGGGGGCAGCGCTGTGCGTCATCATTGGGCTTCAGGGAGTAGCAGTAAAATCAGACATCCCAGTGAACGTATCAAGTAGGGATGGGCTGAGCGGCTGGGGCGGGGGGGTGGGCAAGGAGTGCTGAGCGAGAAAGTTGAATATACATATATGTGATGCCGGGACTCCGTTCTATCCCGGCGCTATCAACATGTGTCTGGTGACCTCACAGACCACAAGGCGCCATGCTGCCACTCATCAGGTGACCTGATTCGGAGGCGTGCCGCCACGACTGATTCCTCCAAGTCGTATCTTTTTGGAGACAAGCAGTAACAATGCTTCGGGGAACCAAAGGGGTAGGGGGGGTGCGATTACCATACCTACGGCCTAGAGACCGTACGCTGCTAAGGGATACAGGAGGAAAGGTCACCGCGTGTCAAATGGACTTATCAACGAGAGCACCACACAAACCTCCAAGCCTGCGGCTGGGTATGGCTGACTGAGGACGGCTAGTAGGCCGCCCCAGTTTCTTCCATGTTCTGGTCGTTATGCGACTGCCAGTGAGGACTCTAGGTTGACACCCCATGGCGCAACGGGACAGGTACGTCGCGTAGCGCACATTCCACAAGAAGCCCTGCATATGTCAAGGTCTGGCTGATATGTGGCACATCCAAGGGGACTTAAATGAGAGTGCAGTATATACATAATGACCTACCCTTTGCGTGCAATGTGGACAACCACATAGACACCCTTCCCGGCCTCATTAATCTCTCTGACCCAGTCGGCTTTGGTCACCTCAAGTACAGTGCCGAACTTCGCTCTGGCCGCGGCCTGACGCATCTCCGCCAGTCGTTTCTGACGGTACTCCTCGAAGAACTTGGCCTCATCCTCGTCCTGGCCGGCATCCTCAAGGGACTCGATTTTTGCCGTTAGCTTCTCATAGGAGAGACGTTCGGCGGCTTCTCGTCCTAGAGGAATCAAAATGGACACGAGTCAGCCTTTCTTCAATGACATATCATTCCGCAGAAATTACCAAAGCATCATCGCCAAGTCTTCCGGTGACCCACCGCATCAGGAAACAATAGGATGTTTAGACAGTTAAGTACGGATAACGGTAACATGGTGTTGCAACAAGCGATGTGAGTGACTGGAGAGTTCAAGGAGTCAATATGTGATCTGGACGTGTACGCTCTTCGGAGGCCACAGTGACAGCACACCGAAGAGCGCACTGCAGTCTTCCAAACAAGACTAAGTGGTCAACAGGGAGTCACTGGCACATAAATCCCTCAATTACTTCTCTATGCTTCGATTTGCTTTGTGGAGCCTGCCGACAGAGTGCCTCAGAAGTCATATCATACGACGCTAGTCAATACTGCTAAGGCTTAATTATTTCAACGGTGGTACGATGAGTATTTTATGCTAGAGTGTCCACACGCTCCTCGAGGCAGGTGGTCAGACTCCGGCCGCGGTGGCTAGGGCGCACACCCCTACCGCGCTGATTAGCGATCCTATTTCGTCCTGGAGCTGGCTGAACCCGGTATCACGATGAATAATAAAGGTGCAGTTGCAATAGGTCCTCGGGCGCTAGTCAATACTGCTATGGCGCGATGGCACGATTAGTATTTTATGCTTGAGCGCCCACACGCTCCTCGAAGCAGGTGGCCAGACCCTGGCCGCGGAGGCTAGGGCGCACACCCCTACCGCGCTGATTAGCGATCCTATTGGGTCCTGGAGCTGGCTGAACGCGGTATCACGATGACTAATAGAGGTGCAATTGCAGCAGGTCCTCGGGGGCTAACAGATGGGGACCGTCCACTTATTGGCTGAGGAATTTTGGTTGCATCTTTGTAAACCTAACGTGACATTTCAAACAACCCACTGCTGAGAACTAGTTCCGACAAAAAGGCGACTAACCTTTCCGACCTACTCGCCGTCGTCGGCCGGGCATGAGCCACTCTTGGGTGGGCGCGACATACACCGTACCGTCTCCTACCTCCTCCATCGAGCTCCTATGCCAAGACAATGTCAAGACGACTGGAGGTGGACTCGGTTGCAGTGACTGATAAAAAAAACTAACGCGTCTACGCGCGCCACAGGCACACCAACTGTCCATTATTAGGGCGACTGGGATCTCACGCCAGCGAGGATGTCACAGCGGCCACACCGCAACCCCCCATCAGTGGGTAGCCCTCGAAGTCAGGACTCTTAGCGTGTTGTAATATGTTCCCGTGCGGCAGTGGGGAATACAGTGCGTGACCGATCTCATGAAATGTTGGCCAAAATTCTGCAATGCATTTCCGATCAGGAAGGGTTACTTAAGTGAGGTCGTTATACTGATTATCATGCAGCATAACCCTATAACATTTCAGACTCGCCAGGATGTCGGCTTTTGAATGCACTTCTTTTTTTGACCTCCTGCAGAAATCACACTCGGTAAAAAATGACAACTTAAGTAGCATGCATTTTTCCTATTGATTTTCGGTGGTCCAATAAATTCAAATATATTTTACAGAAAACATGCATAAAAATATGCGTTATTTTGCTCATTTGGTAGGAAATCACATTGTCTTCATATCTTATGCCCGAAAAAAGTATGTATTTAGGTTTTAAAAGTGTTCCAACTCCCGAATAATTTTCAGCCTGATCTGCCATTGCATCCGCGTTTAGCAATTTCAGTACACATGGTGCATGCTTTCCGCGTAAGGAAAATCGACTAGATCGCAGTTGGTAGCCAGGCCCCGTATTGCAGGTGGCGGGAGGTTTGTTTACTGGGGGCTATTTTGTGGGGCTTCATAATCACATATGGCCCATTTGGCTTCCGTTTTACGTTTGAGGTGAGGATTAGGGTACCGGTTAATGGTTTCCGATTTTCGGGTTAAGGTTATGCCTTCAGGCTTAGTTTTTGGGGTTACGGTTAGGGTTTGAGCGTACGATTATGTTTTAGTATTACGGTTAGGTTTTCATTTACGGCTATGTCTAAGAGCTGCGGTTACGTTTAAGATTTCGGTTAGGGTTGCCGTTAGGGTTGACGGTTAACGTTTAAGGTTAAGGTTAGGGTTATGGTTAGGGTTAAGGTCGCCGTCCGCTTCCCCATTTCTGGCTACCAACTGCGATCTAGTCGGAAAATCATATATTCCTCTATACCCTTAAGAGGATATCACATAGAGTTTATGAAATTTTGCAATGGATCCAAACTGTGTTGTACATTTCATGAATAGCATTAGTAAACGGACATGTGCGGTTTTGCATGCATGGTCATCGCACAGTCTTAAAAATCTCATAATTAGAAACTTTTTAAAAACCGAAATACACACTTTTGGGCAAAAAATATGAAGACAATGCGATTTCCTACCAAGTGAGCAAAAGAAAGCATATTTTTATACATGTTTTCTGTAAAGTATATTTGAATTTATAAGACCACCGAAAATCAATAGGAAAAATGCATGCTACTTAAGTTGTCATTTTTTACCGAGTGCGGTTTCTGCATGAAGTTAAAAAGAAGTGCATTCAAAAGCCGACATCCTGGCGAGTCCGAAATGTTCTATGGTTATCCTGCACGGTGATCAGTATAACAACCCCACTTAAGTAATCCTTCCTAGTCCGAAACACATTCCAGAATTTTGGCCAACATTTCATGAGATCGGTCACGCACTGTACGCTGTACTCCAGTGCCGCTTTCGCTCTCTCTTCCATGCAGTAATCGGCTGCTTGAACCTATCAACCAGACCACTGATGGGATCGGGTACCGCGGTGTGGAGGCCTACGCCTAAAGCGTGCCACCACAGCAGCTATAAGGATCGCGCGAATTCTGTACAGCCTAATTGGCACACGTCGTGAGTCAGTCTGATCCCCGTTTTGATTCCGCACAGTCCACCGATCGAGCCTCGTTAGCCAAAGGAATACAGACTTCTGGTTTGTCTCGGGGGGGAGGGGTATGCGGCTTTCCAAAATCTGAATTAGAGGAAGATTGAGCGGTCTTTGAAAAAAGTTTCCCGATGCCCTTGGTGCGTGCAGCTGCAAGAGCCAAAGCGCAGGATTAAGGCACCCACTTCAGTAAAATGTGCTTAGTGAGGTAATAACGGGCTAAAAAATAACCGGAGATAATAACACTCCGGCGCAAACATGTAGAGCTGATACATGACAAGCCAACTTCACCTAAGAACCGACGTATACTCGAGATTTTTTTGTGGCGGGGAGCCCAACAAGGATACTTTTGACATAACGATGTTTCCAACCACAAAAAAGATCAATTCAAGGACGCCAGCTACTCACGTTTTGTTTCAGGCGAAGGGCCCGGTGATTCTTCCTTCGGTTTCGGTAAGGGAGGCAGAATTCCCTTTTCCCGCAAAATGGCATTCCATTCGGTGTCTTCTGATGGATCCTTTATACTCAATGTTAGAGATCAAAGCATGAAACCTACCACTTGAACCTGCATCATTATCGAGTCTCTGGTGCCCTAAGTGGAATGGATCTAAAAAAAGACGAAACAATTGCAGTCGACGAGAAAAAATCAAGATATCCGGGCATTATTTCGAATATATACGCATGTTGCTGGTCAGCCCAGCGTATGGCAATGCTAAAAGAGCGACGGAGTAAAGAACAATAAACTGGCGTGGCGCAAAGGATGCGCACGCTGATTGGGAAGTGAGGAGTTTTCAGTCACAGCCAAGCTGGGTCCGTGGCGGCAGAGCTTGTCTGCCAGCAAGGATGGCTTAGGTAGGACACACTGAATTCTTCAAAGTTCGATGGCAACATCACGAAATGATAACGATGAAGTTCCATCAAATAGACCCTTTTGTCAGGTTAAAATGAGCAAGTGGTCGAGGAGGCAACATCGCACAAACAGCGCGATGATTAAGAACCCACACGTGGAAGCAGTATCTCAATATGGTACTCCAAATTAGGCAGAACTAGTACTTCCAAAAACCCTGGTCTGGTAGTCAGATCGAGTATTAATTGGACTGCACTATGCATTCCGAGGGGAACGTTTGAACTGGACGCTTGAATGCACGAACATGCCTTGGTCCTCGTACACGACTGTCTGACAGCTAAGTGTGAGTATCTGTTGCCTATCTGGAGTTAGTATTCCTGGCCCAGGTCCTCGGAAATCCAAAATCTTCAGGATTTACCCTGTACATGTGGCGTGACTTGGCAATTGCCTTCTTGAAACGAACGACATTAGCACGGTTTTCTTGGAAAGGTTGGGTATGGACAACCAAAGGGGCACTTCAACTACAGTTTTGCCATTTTCCTCTACTCAATAACACCAGCGATAAAGCATCGTGACAAACGCACTCTGTACCTCCTAGTGAAGTAGACGGTTAGCAGACGCGTGTCGCTATGGATGACCAAGATGGTTAGATTTTGGAAATCCATCTCTTTAATAACCCATTAATTGGTCGGTTTTCTTTCTGTGGCGTAGATAGATCCATTATATCATAAAGATGCCTGGTGTTGTGGCTGGAATCTCGCTACACTCAGATCATGTCGCTCTCTAAACACGTCTGAATGCTCACTTCCTAATCGCAATCAAAAGGCCTTGTATCAGCCGCCACTATGTTTCGCATTGCAGCCCCACCAATTATCATTAAAACCTGCGGATCGGGCAGCAAAGTAACGGATTTAATTATTTGTCATAATAGTTGGATCAGATCAGGAAATCTCTACGCAGTCACTTCGTGGTACACAACACAAGTATGACAGCTTTACTAAACTTATAAATTTTAAGACAAGTTTAGCTAAGAAAACGACGACAATTATTAAATCAAAGGGGTAATTTCAAAAGAGCTGGTCACAAACGTTGATGACAAGCTTCTCGCCTATTTAAGTGGTAGTCGACGTGGATATAACGATTATGTTCAGGATATGAACGGCAGCCCAATTTTTAACACGTCGGTCAGGTTTGAGTGCTGGCGTAAGCGCCTCTAGTGTCCGTACTTCCCCTCTACCTGGAAAAAGGCACCAAAGCGACCATACGGCTGCAAGACAGCAGACCGAACCGGCCGTTTTTATGGACGCGCGTAAAGTCAAAATTCCCAGACAGTATATAAATAATGTGTTCTAAAATGCTTTCGCGATACTTTCAGGCATTAACGGCGAAATTATTACGGTTGTCCGGGGCAGACGGAATTACAGCCGCAAAGAATGAAAGTAGGCATCGAATTCCAAAATCTTCATTCCGAGCGAGGTACGGGAAATGAAGATTCGGGCTCAGGCACATATTCGAAACCCAAACGGCAGATAGCCCGTCAACACCGCTAGGAAGGGTTTTTCGTCATTATTCTCGGTTGGTTTAACTGTGTCATATCGACACCGCAGCTAGTAAGCTGTACTCAATAATTGCAGCTGTCCATTAAGGTCTGTTTTCGATTGTTGTTACACGCATCATATGTGATAGGGTTGGGAGCTGAGTGAAGCAAATTTTGATTACCATCGGCACGGCATGCTAGCGGAAGCTACTATTTCCCTCGAAGACGTCTCTCTAACCTATTTTCATCTAACTATGGCCAATGGCTCTTTGGCGGTGACTTTCAGCATCACTGGCACTAAATGGTCTTCTTAAAGGTGCCATCATTGTGCAGACGTTCGTATTAACTCTGAAATTTCTGTTGTCCGTGTACTGGCTGTTTTCAAATCGCCTGGATGAGTACATCGATTTCCCCACGAAAAGATTTGGCTTTCTGATAGAGCACTGCAAATTCAACACCCATCATCTAGCCCCAACACTTAATATTTCAAGAAGTCGATTTGTATCGCCACCAACCTCGTTTAGGATTTAGCTAGTTCCCATTTTTCCAGCACGATATAATTCAGCGTAGTCTTAACTTGCGACGACCCGCGAACTGGTTGGAGAAATTTTGCTGTCTCCGAACGGGATTGCCAACTTGTGGAGCGAAGTCGTGTCCTACAACAATACACACCAACTGGTGGTTCATGACCCGTATGGATCCCACCTCGACGAATTCCAACTGTATACCAATTAGAGTCGAGCCTAATTATTTACAAAGTGAGACCAAACTGCTTCATTTCGGACGTCATTCGCAGCCCATACAT